TTTTTGTAAATTTTAGCTATATTTAAAAATATATATGAAAACATATATTACTTGCTGTATGGCAAAATGCACTAGAATTCTTAATGAAATAAATGCATGGCTCATATAAGTTGCTGAACTGTTGTTTCAGAGCATGAGCCTGCACTGCCGTCAGTGTGCGTTAGTGACCAGCTCTAGTCACGTGTTGGGGACTCACGCCGCCTAAATCTGGCCAAAATATATGCAGTATACACAGTTTAAGAAAATGATTTCTTGTAAACCTTCAAAATACACACACACACACACATATATATATATATATATATATATGCTGTACCGGCTGATCCAGAGAGTCAGTATGACCTACAGTAACCTGTCCTTCTTCTTCATCTCACCCGGCAAAATGCAGAGGTTCGACACGCTCTTTCAGAAAGAGACCGGCCGAGACAGGTGAACACGTCACTTCCTGTTGGCTACTTCAGTTTAACATGTTTATTTATTCATTTACATTTACATGCAGTCATTTAGCGGACGCTTAAATGCTATTTTATTGTTTTAATGTAGCAAAAACTGTTAGAGAGTGTTACACATTTGTCCTGGAGCCAGGCGATATGGCCAAAAATATCAGCAGAATATTTTTCCATATCATTCAATATCATAATATTCAGGTGCATTCCACATTATTAGACCTCAAAGATGAATGTACATGTAACTTGTTTGTTTACAGGTAAGCTACCTTTTCATTTAGGGTCCTATGAAATTGCTTTTATTTTTTCCAAATTCTTTTTTGGATTATGTGTTTTATGATTTAATACATAATTTAATTTAATACATAAAGTTATCATCAACAATAGTCTAATGAAATGAATTTATAAAACTTAAACACTTGAATTGATTTTTAAAAATGTAATCAAATGATAATATAACAATTCATTTATGACAAAACATTGCATTATTTATTTTTATTATATTTGTCAAAAACAGAACTTGTATACTATGAAAGTTTTATTTTAGTACCATTGATATACTATTATAATTTTTGTTTATATTGAAATTAGATTTTATTTTTACATTTTCTGTTTTTATTTGATCTTTAAAGTTTTAGTAATTTTCTGTCTTATTGTCTTCTTTTTAAATGGCTATATAATTTTTATTGTTTAATTGTTTTATTGTTTAACTTAAACTAAATGACAATAATAAATGCTGCCTTTAAGTAATATATTTATATATTAAATTATATATATGTATATATATATTGTGTATACTGCATATATATATATATACAGTGGGTACGGAAAGTATTCAGACCCCCTTAAATTTTTCA